AGTCTCAGTGTCTTTTTTATAGTGCAATGACCAAAACTGGATGCAGTACTCTAGGTGTGCAGGATTTCCTCACCACAGCAATTTTAAGATGCATGGACTTCAACTTCCAGAATTCACCAGCCAGATTACAAGACTGTGGGGAAATCTGTCACAATTCTGAGCGGTTCTTAAGCGAATAGCACCCAATTTTGTTGTAGGGAGGAATGTCCAAAATGGGGACAGGGCACCCCATTCCGCTTCCTAATTTGAGCTGCATAAATCCTATTAATTCATTGGTAGAAAGGAGATTGCTCCGACAAACGGCGAAGAGGGTGAGATAGATGCTCTCTACCTGCCGTTTTGCGTACTGCCCTCAGACATCTTAGGGGAGCCTGGGCTCTTGGTATGGCCATTCCAGGTCTCATCGCCCCGACGAGATGCTTGTCGGTTCCAGGATTGATCGCTCTCACTCGGTTCCACTGTGGGGAGGATAATCAAACAACGGGATAATTAAACAAACCGTACACTTCTGACTGCTGCAATACAGGTAATTCTCGACTTATGACACAATTGAGTCCAACATTTCTGTGATGACCCAAAGGGGCGTGGCACAAAGGCAACACAGTCAAATAAGCAAGAAGAGTCTCTTTATTATCTCCAACTTTGCCCCCAATGTCCAGGTTACTTTCTGGCTGGAGAACAGCCTTTGACTGCAGAATATTCAGTCCAAAACATGGTCAACCCAAAATGTAACTTAAAGTCCAAACAAACCAAGCTGAAGTAATTAGTTTGGCAGGGCAGGAGCAGGAATTTCAGACTTGAAAGGACGGCAAAACTCACACAGTTGGGAAGACAGCAGGAACACAGATAAGCCACCACGATACAAGATAAAGTCACATTTGGTCCCAACAGCCTGCCGGACACAACTTGCCTTTTTAAACACTCTGTTTCCAGCTGCAGCTAATAAAGGGAATCAGGGCTCTTTCCTCCCCCATAAGCCATGCAACTCACGTTGCTCCCTTCTCCGTTCCTCCCTGCGTGCTCTAGGATGAAGAGGAGCTGGGCCTGGGTCTTCCTCTGAACTCCCTTTCCCTTGTTCTACCTCTCCCCTGCTCTGTCCAGCCGGACTTTGCCCTTCCCCCGTTTCCTCCACAGCCAACAGAGCCACACTCCCGCTCCCTGTCAGCTGCTCGGCCTCCCCCTCCGATTATCAGGGGCATGATAATTTCTGCGGCTAAGTGAATCTGGCTTCTCCATTGACTTGGCTTGTCGGAAGGCTGCAAAGGGGGGGGGGGTTTGAAATCACATGATCTTGGGACACAGCAACGGTCATAAGTATGAACCAGCTGCCAGTCTTCCAATATTTGAGGGGCTCAAAGCCCCTGAAGGCAGGACAAGAAACAACAGATGGAAACTCATCAAGGAGAGAAGCAACCTGGAACTCAGGAGGAATTTCCCGACAGTGAGAACAATTAACCAGTGGAACAGCCTGCCACCAGAAGTTGTGGGTGCTTCATCAACCTAGAACAGGGGTCCCCAACCCCAGGGCCATGCCCCACTACTGGGCCTTTAGCTCTTCAGAACTGGGCCGTGTAAGTGGAATCTATTCGGGCCTCCTCCTCCTCTAATAAGTAAAAGTAATATTCGAATTACAATTGAGACTGGACCTTTTGTGGCTAAACAATGTAGTAATCAGTGTCAACTCATAAAATATTTCTATGGTCATTTTAGAGTTGCCAACAGAAAGGGAGGGGGGAAAGGGGTTTGAAAGAGCAAGTGCGGCAGCTTGGAAATCGAAAGTGCATTCCATACATAGTTTTTCAAATATAGTAATTAGGTGACTGAAGTTTCTGCCATTCTAACTGGAGAGCATGATTGATGACTCTTGGCTATGGATGTGCCTCATTGGAGAATATGAATTATGATACTCCCAGGGGGTAGGGGGAAAACCAGGGTCAAGGGTGACAATGAATTATATGTCTCAGAGTCGGCTACACCCAGGCAGTGCCGGACATGTTAACTCCCAATAAATCGTTTTGAAGTTTTGGAAGTTTGGCTCAAGACCATGATTTTAATTTGGGGTAATTGCCGGAATTCTGACAGCCAGCCACGATAAGTCCTTACAGGAGCGTGTCTGATTTTATTATCTTTTTGGCTGCAGTCCCTAAGTGAGTCACCAGGGTAATTATACAAATCCAGCCTCCCCCGCTGTCGTCTTCGCATGTCATAACCGGCTGAGAAGATCCTAAATAGTGATCCCGTGATTGCGGGATCCCACAACCGTTGTAAATGTGAGCCCCACGGCCAAGCACCTGAGTTTCAGTCACGTGACTGCAGGGATGCTGCAATGGCCTTAGGTTTGAGGACCAGCTTCAAGGTACTTTTTCCCCCAGGGCCTTCATCATTTTGAACAGTTGCTAAATGTGGGGATCTGAGTTGGTTTCCGAGCTTGGTGATTTTGCTGCAGATGGTTTATTACCCAACTAGGGTAACATCATCAGTGCTAGGCAGTGGGGATTGCGGAGTGGAGCAAAAGAGGATGGGGAGGAGGAGGAAGGAAGGAAGGAAGGAAGGAAGGATGGGGAGGAGGAGAATCACTATGGGTCCTTGGTGCTCTTTGAGCTTGGTGGTTTTCTTGGACATTTCATCACCCAAAAAGGTAACTTCAGCAGTGCTAGAAAGGACGGGGAGTTTGTGGATTGGAGGAAAAGGAGCTGAAAAGGAGGAGGAGAAGGAGAAGAAGAAGAGGAGGAGG